GCCACCCGCATCCTCAGCCGGCCGGCCGTGGCCCCGCTCGCGGCTTCTGGGCGCGAAGGCGCCGCGGTCGTCGTCGTCGTCGTCGTCGTCGTCCGTCGTCGTGGTCGTCGTCGTCGTCGTCTTCGTCGTCGTCGTCGGCATCTTTCTCGACGTCGTGGTGGTGGTGGCGAACGAACCTCGTTGTCGTCGTCGTGGTGGTGGTGGTGGTCGTCGTCGTTGTCGTTTTCGTCGTCGTGGTCTTGGTCGTTGTCGTGGTTCTTGTCGTGTTCGTGGTCGTGGTTGTCGCCGTGTGGTCGTTGCTGTCGTCGTGGTCTTCGTTGTTGTCGTCGTCTTCGTCGTCGTCGTCGATATCGTCGTCGGAGGGGGGATAGAGCAGATTGGGGTAAAGGTGGATTGGAAGACGGAGGGGATGAGGAGACAAAAGAGAAGAGAGAAGGGGGAGGGGAGGGGGAATAGGACGCGTGATGAGAGAGGAAGAGGGGGTTCGAGGAGGAATAGCAGAAGGAGGAGGAGAGGAGGCTGAGCAAGGGGAGGAGCAGGAGGAGCAGGAGGAGGAGGAGGAGGAGGGCGAGGAGGTGGAGGAGGAGGAGGAGGAGGAAGAGGACCAGTGTAAGCCCAAAACTCATCAACCATGTTGGGAATAAACCCTCCCTCCAAGCTCCCTCATCACAGGCCCCTACAAGGAAACATTTCCACTGAGGGAAGTACCCCGTTGGGAGACAACCGTTTGAAGATCCTGAAGCGTGCCGAAACTGTCTGCTCGGGACTACACCGCTACGAATCAACCTGACTGTCGCGGCGTGACGGTCTTGAATCGTGCCAAAACACCATTCTTGGGACTGACACCGCGACTCAACGTAGCTGTTGCGCCTTGACAACCCCGAATCGTTCCGAAACGCCATTTCTGGTATATTCACCATACGAATCCGCGAAACTATTGCAATTGTTTGAAGCGAATGTGCGTGGCGTTAAGGCGAGAGCCACACATCGAAAAGGGGCCTCCTTCAATCCGTGAAACTCTGGCAATTTCTGTTAAACAAATGTGCGCGGCGCTCAAGCGAATGACACATTTTGAAAAGGAACCGCCGCCAATTCGTGACACTTTTGTAAGTTACTCAGACGAGTGTGCGTGGCGCTAGTCCGAGAGTGACATTTGAACATGGCCCACCCTCAATCAGAGCCGCTCTTGCAAATCTTTAAGACGGCTGTGCGCGGCGCTAAGGCGAGAATCCGCGAAACTCTGACACATTGTTAAGACGAGTGTGCGCGGCGCTAAGGCGAGAGCCACATTTTGGAAACCACCCACACTCCATGTGTGAATCTGTTGCCAATTTTGAAGTTTCAGGATCATAACGGTTGAGGAAGTCTCAGGCGAAACACCCGTCCCGCCTTTTCGACCAGCCTCGGGGTGCGACAGGGAGGAGTTATTTACCCAGCTGCCCGCGGCAAATCCCTCCACCTAGCCAGCCTAACTTTCTGGGTGGCGACTGTTCGAGGAGGCGCGGATGCCGTCATGTGTGACATTGCGGGTCTCCAGGCTTGGGAAATCCGTGGTGAGGGTGGTGAGGATTGTGAGAATGATACGGGCGATGACGATGACGATGATGCTGCTGATGTCTTGGATGTTCGTGGGGATACCGTGGGAGGCCTCTCGTGGGCCTGTTGGAGGCCATTTTGAGCCCTCGTGGGCAACGCATCAACATCAGTGCCAGATAATAGCGCCAGGCCAGAAGACCATGACGTGATATTGGCAGTGGCACGGCGCCTTCCACGGACACGGCGGTTCCTGGAGGCACGTTTGGACCTTGCTCGGACCGTGCTCGGTGAGGCATTTGCGGTCGGGCCTGGCTGGCCTGCCGCTGGGGTGTGTCCCTGGAGAGTTGGACGGGGACTGCCACTAGGTCATTGGCGTGGGCTACGCCGCAGGCCCCCGGGCCAGGTCCCCACCAGAGACAGCATTTCCAGCCGAGTCCTGCATGCGGCGACGCTGACGGCGGTACTCCGCAGTGCTCATTTCGTCATCGGAGGGGGCGGCAGGTTCACTGAAACCCTCCTCCATGCCTTCGTCATCGAGATCGTCGTCCTCGTAGATGAAGGCCGAAAAGCGGTACTGACGATCGGGCCCATAGTTAGGATCAGAATCCGCAGGTGCAGCAGCGGCAGGGACAGCAGCAGGAGGCCCGCAACCACGACGACCACCCTTGTCCTCGCCCTTTCCCCCGGATGCGCCAGGGGCCCCCCTGATCCTCCAGGGAATGTGCATCCTTGAGGCGCCTCTCCAATAGCGCCAAGGCGGAAACAAGTTCAGGATCCTCACCTACGGAACCACCCCTGCCCAGACGGAGGCGGAGGCATGTTCTGTCAGGGTCCGAGGCAGGCGGGGCAGGCAAGGGGAACTCCGTCCGAATCTCCTGTTTAGCATCCCAGTCATGGAGGTCCAGTTCAAGGGAGTCGTGCTTCATGCGCAGGTTATGGACCCTCTCGTCATAGTTGTTAGCTTTGGCCGAAGCCTTATCCCTGATAGTGATAGTCGCAATGATAGCCTTATCCACCTTAGATAATTTAAGCTGAGCCCAGTGTGCCCGCTTTTCCGTCCGCTCAGACTGAAGGGTTGGAGGTAGTAGCCCAGACTTAGCAGCGCGATGACAATAAAGCCGGCCCTTCGTATCTTTGATAAGATCGTCAAGGGTACCGGCACCATCAGCACGACAAGATATCTTCTGAAGGTCATGGGGATGGCGTTCAGTGCATGCGATGACATCCGTGAGGGATGCACAGTGCCAACCGCGCTGTCACCAGCAAGGCCAGCATTTTTGGCCTCCCAGTAGGGTGAGTCCTTGTAAGTGCGCACCCCAGAACGGTCACGGCGACCACGATGACCCCCTGCAGGAGCTTCACCGTCATCAGTGAAGTAAGGACCACCATCGGCCAAAAAATAAGCGGCACCACCCCACCTACGGCCCTCAATGTGGCGCCACGGCCCATCGGGGGCCGTAGCGTATACCATGCGAAAACCCACGCCAGACGTCCTGGTATACGCTACGGCACGTGGGGCCGTAGGTGGGGGAGGAGGAGGAGGAGGAGGAGGAGGAGGAGGAGGAGGAGGAGGAGGAGGAGGAGGAGGAGGAGGAGGAGGAGGAGGAGGAGGAGGAGGAGGAGGAGGAGGAGGAGGAGGAGGAGGAGGAGGAGGAGGAGGAGGAGGTGCTTTTTGTTTTCTGGTCCACACCACACTTCGAGCAGCACGGACTGCCGCGAGCCTGGAACTCCCGAGCCCGCACGCCGAGCGCACGTCGCGGGGCCTCGGCTGCTTCGCGCCCCTCTTGCGCTATGGCCGCCGCGGCCCTCGGCCCCGCCGCCATGCCTGGGAGCGCGGTTGCGCCACGCCATGGCGGAAGCGCACAGATACCCATCGGTCGTTGAAAGTAGGTGTTTTTGGATTCCCAGGCTCCAATGTACTTTCAGCGCCTTCCTACTTCAAGAGTCGAGTGGTTTTCCCTCTTCCCTCCTCTTCAGGAGGCAGGCGGAAACCCAATCTATTTCCAACGCCTTCCTACTTCATGTCTCTACCTACTTCTTCCGACCGATGGATAGGGATAACAGCGGTCGATGCAGGAGTGCCGTGGTTGCAGAATGGCCACCCGTTGGCCGCGCTTGGGCGAGGTTGGGAAGTTCAGGATCAGGCTCCTTGAGCCAAAATGGCTACGGAGGAGGAGGAGGAGAAAGGGGATAGTAATGAGGACGATGAGGAGGCCTCTTGGACCCCTTGGGGCTCTCTTGGGGCTCTGTTGAGGCTTCTTGTGGGCTTCTCGTGGCTCCCTGAGGGTTTCTGAAGGACCTCTTGTGCCTTGTTTGGGGCCCTTTTAGGGCTTCCTGGGCCGTTGGCCGTCTAACGCCTTCGGTGGCCGTCCTGTGGTTTTCTGTGTGCCCTCTTGGGGCGCTTGAGGGCAGTCTTGGCGGTCTCTTGGGCCGTCTTCGGTTCCTCTTGGGGTCGGCCTGGGGACCTTTTGAGCCAACTTTGGGCCATCTTGGTCCTTCTTGGGGCCGTCTTGGGGGCTTCTTGGGCCGTCTCGGGCCTTCTTGGGGGCTTCTTGGGCCGTCTTGGGGCCCCCTTAAGGGGCCTCTTGGGCCGTCCTTACGAGTCCTCCAGGACCGTTTTCGGATCTCGGACGCCAGAAATGGCGAGAACCGAACATCCGTGAACAACCATACGGACGTCAATGGTTCTGGCTTCTTCAGGCTCTCCCAGGGGGTCTCGTTGGAACCCTCTTGAAGCGTCTTGAGGGCCTACTAAGCCGCCTTGAGGCCATCTTGAGCCGTCTTGGAGCAATCTGTGTCCGTCTTGTGTCATCTTGGAGCCAGCTTGGCTTTCTTCGAAGGCCATCTTGGACCGACTTGGGAGCAGCCTTGGCCTTCTTGGAGACATATTGAGGCCATCTTGCGCGGACAAGCAAACGGGAGACCTACTTTCGGCGTGGCCAGCTGGATCGGCTTAGACCCCACTGGGAACCTTTTGGAAGGGTTCAGAGCAGTGAACCATCTGGCATGCCAGCAACCTCTCTTGCAAGCAACATGGGTTTCGGATCAAAGACGCTTGTGGCGAACCACCGCTGACCCACTGCCTTCTGGGAACGCCTATGTGGCCAATCGTTGGGCCGAAATCTTCCCAAGCAATCGGGCTATGTGTTCCCCTACCTGTTGCGGAAACCTTTTGGGGGAAACATTTTGGGGAGGAAGAGGGGGAGGAGCAGGCGAGGGAGAGCCTCTTGGGGCCTCTTGGGGCCTCCTGGAAGCCTGCTGCGGGCCTCTTGGAAGGGGGCCTCTTGGGGCCTCTTGGGGCCTCCTGGAAGCCTGCTGCGGGCCTCTTGGGAGCTCTTGTGGGCCTCTCGGGGCCTCCTGGGGGTCCCTGGGGGCTTCTTACTGGGCTGCTGGGCCGTCTTCGGGTGGTCTTGGCCCGTCTGAGGCCGCCGACGGCTGTCCCAAATCAGGAGGGAAAGAAACACACAGACACAATTAATCGCCGATCCCCAGGAAAATATGGGAAAATATGGGAAGTGGGGGGGAAGACAAAAAGCCAGAACATATGGGAAAATATGGGGAATCCTTTTATTTGTGTGTATTTATTTGTGTGTCCCAGGGCCCCTTCACTAAAGGCCTCTTTGGGCCATCTTGGTGCGCTTTAGGGCCGTTTTGGGGGTCTCTTGGGCCGCCTTGGGGGTGTCCTGGGCGGCTCCTGGGCCGTCTTGGATCCCTCTTGGTTCCTCATGGGGCCTTCTGCATCTTGGGCCGTCGTAGGGATGCCTCCAGGGCCTTCTTGGGCTTTCGCAAGCCCGAAAAGCCGAGAACGCGAAACTCCGTCATCAACCATGGGAATATTACAGGCTTTGGCCTCTTCGGGTTCTTGCAGGGAGCCTCTTGGAGCCGTCTTGGGTCGTCTTGAGGGTATCTTGGGCCATCTTCAGGCCATCTTGGAGCGTCTCGCGACAGCCACCCTGGCTTTCTTGAAGGCCATCTTGGACCTCCTTGTGCCGTCTTTGAGGCCATCTTGGACCATTGCGAAGGCCATCTTGACCACCTGGAAGGCCGTCGTCAGGCCACCTGACATCAATTTTGTATTGCCTTCCGTGTGGCCGGCGGTTTGTGCTGGAGGCCATTGAGAACCTTTTGGACAGGGGGATGCAAACAAGCAGAAAGTGCAGCACGCCAACCCTTATAGGCAGATCATATGGGCTGGCGGATGATACTGCTGATGATGATGACGATGACGATGACGATGATGATGTTGATGATGATGATGGTGATGCTGATGATGATTATGTGATGCTGCTGCTGATGATGCTGATGATGATGATTGCAATAACGATGATGATGAAGATGACGATCGTGAAGACGATGACAATCATACTGACAATGATGCCGATGATGATGTTCATGCTGATGACGATGATGATGATAATGATGATGATGATGATGATGATGATGATGATGGTGCTGATCATGATGATGATGACTACTACATGATGATGACGCTGATGAGGATGACGATGATGATGATGATGCTGATGATGATGATGATGATGATTTTGATGATGATGATGATGATGATGATGATGATGATGATATGAGGATGATAGTAATAATGATGATGCTGATGATGATGATGACGATTCCGATAATAATGATGATGAAATCGATGGTGCTGATGATGACGATGATGATCATGATGATGATGACGACGATTGCGATGATGACGCTGATGATGATGATGATGATGATGCTGGCGATAATGTTTGTGATGCTGATGATGATGATGCTGATGATGATGCGGATGCTGCTGCTGCTGCTGCTGATTATGCTGATGATGATGGTGGTGCCAATGCAGACGTTGGTGGTGATGGTGCTGCTGATGATGATGGATTGATGATGACCGTTGTGGTGGTGTTTGTGGTGTCGGTGATGCTGCTGATGATGATGTTGTTGTTGACGATGATTGTGATGATGGTGATGATGATGAGGATGATGATGATGATGCTGATGACAGCGATGCAGGTGAGGTGATGAAGATGGTGGCGATTATGCTGGTGCTGATGGTGACCACGACGAAGACACTGCTACTGCTGATGATGATGCCGATGCCGATGCTGCTGTTGCTGATGATGATTCTGCCAATGCAGATGCTGATGCTGATGCTGATGCTGCTGCTGATGATGATGCCGATGGTGGTGTTGGTGGCGGTGGCGCCAGTGGTGGTGATGATGATGCTGATGATGCTGCTGTTGTTCTTGTTGTCGTTGACGATGATGCTGATGATGATGCTGATGCTGCTGATGAAAATGATGATGCTGATGCTGCTGATGATGATGCTTCTGATGATGAGCAGTATGATGATGATAAGGAGGATAAAGTGCTGCTCATGATGATGCTGATGATGATGATGATGATGCTGTTGATGATGCTGATGATGATGCTGATGATGATGAGGATGATGATGATGCTGATGCTGATGCTGCTGATGATGACGATGATGATGATTATGCTGCTGCTGCCGATGATGATGCTGATGGTGATGTTGTTGATGATGATAATGAGGATGACGATGATGATTATGATATTGATGAAGATGATGCTGCTGCTGCTGATGATGATGATGATTATGATGATGGTGATGATGATGACGACGCTGATGATGATGATGATGATGATGATGATGATGATGATGATGATGATGTTGCTGCTGTTGTTGATGATCATGGTGGTGATGATGATGTTGATGATCATGATGCTGATGATGATGCTGCTGCTGCTGCTGATGATGATGATGATGATGATGATGATGATGATGATGATGAGGAGGAGGAGGAAGAGGAGGAGGAGGAGGAGGAGGAGGAGGATGATTAGGAGGAGGAGGAGGAGCCTGAGGCGCCTTGGGCTTGGTGCGCGCGCTGGAGTTCAAGCACCGCCTCCGTGCCCGCTGCCCAGCTTCGCTGGCAGGTAGGGGGTGGGTGAGCAGGCAGGAGGAGGAGGAGGAGGAGGAGGAGGAGGAGGAGGAGGAGGAGGAGGAGGAGGAGGAGGAGGAGGAGGAGGAGGAGGAGGAGGAGGGAGGAGTGGAGGAGGGCTGAGAATGGGGGGGAGGAAGGAAGGAGCGAGGAGGGGAGCTGGAACAAGGAGGAGGGAGGGGGTGTGGATGGATGTTGGGAGGGAGGGGGAGGGAGTGAGGAGGGGGGAGTGTGGGGAGGGCGACCTGAGCCGCCCCTCTGTCTATGTTCCCGCAACGCCGCTTCCAGGCTGCCGTGCCTCCTCTCATTGCTTGCCCCCCTCCGGTGCTTGACCCGTATCTGGCCCAGCGCCAGGAGGCAACCGAGCCCCGCGTAGCATCTGAAATGCACGTAGCACCCGAGGTCGACGGGGTGCGGGTCGCACCACGAGACTCGGAGAAATTCCGTTCAGCGCTCTTGCATCCACCTGGGGACAGCCGTCGCCCCAAGGCTCACCGCGAGACGTTTGGGGCCGACGCGCTACCCTCGTGGCCTGCCGTCGGACCAGCCTGTGAGTGCGCTACTTAGGTGATCCACGGACGCGCCCAGTTTCCTTCCGGCGAGCTCAGCGTCATCGTAGACCCAGGTGCGTGGGCCAAGCTCGCGGGAGAGACGCTCGCACGCCAGCTGTGCCGCCGAGCTGTAGTGGCGGAGCACCGGCCGCAGCGGCTTCTCGCGAGCAAGCCCTGGAGCACCCGCGGTGTTGGCGACGGGCCTCAAGGGTGCACCCATCAGGTGAACGCCCCCGTTGCCGTCGCGGGTGATCAGGGCCGAGCTGCCGTCCCAATCTGCACAGCGCCCATTGTCAGAGGATCGGGCAGCAGCCTGCCTGGCCTGCTCGCATTACGCAGCATGGAGTCCATGCGCGCGACCCTGGACATGGGCCAACACGAGCTGATCTTTCATGGTGAAGGCCACATCCATATTCCATGGCCCGCATCCGCCGTCCGCATCCCACTGCATAAGGACCCGAGCCGACGCCTCGTGCTGGTCGTCGACGACTTCGAGGGGCTGTGCCAGCGCCAGGCGGCGCACCCGACCGCGGCGTGCAGCTGCGCGCCCGCGCCGGCGAGACGGAGACGGAGATGGGGGACGCGACGCCGGCTGCTGCCGCTTCTTCCTAGGAGGCCGAGCAGCGGTCGACCCGCGGCTCACGGTGAGTTGAGGCCCCCTCAGGGGGCGCCCCGGCCCGCCTGGCTGGGGATCCAACGTCGTGTCCCAATCCCGCTCTTGTGATAGAGCCCCCAGCTTCGGTTGCTCGAGCTCTTGAACAGCGCGGATGGCAGACGCGAGCGCTCCATCTGGCGTCAAATTAATTCCCGCATTTCCCTTTCATCGTCGGCGAATCAACGCGATATTTACCAGTCAGTGTGGGTTATGATGCCGCTTCGCCACGTGCACCAGGGCAGCCATTTTTATCGAGCTCTTGGTCAACGGCATCAACTTCGACTCACTTGTAAGAGAAACGACGTGCCTTGTGTTGCCGTGGATCTGGCAAACATGCTGCATTCAACCATTGCAGTGTTCACGACCCAACAGTAGGCATGAGACTTGTCACAGTTAGGCTCTGTCGGCTGAGGCTCACGCAGAACCTCATACCAAATCGCCCGCCAGAGCTGCATTCCACATAGTGACGACAAGGAACATGAGGCTCTCCTGCGGTGCACATGTCCGAAAGGGTTGGTGCCTCAGGCCACCTGGAATAGGATTGCCGATCGCCGCGCACCTAGATCCAGACAGGGGCTATACTACAAATCCGCGTGCGACTGGTCACGCACTTTGGTTCGGCCCGAGTAATGTCTTTTATTCAGGGTGAGTCAGAGATTGCAAGGCTCACGAACGTACCAAGTGCTTTTCTTGGCGAGGAGTCTTCGGCAGCTTCGCCGAGGGCCGTGCGCGCTCGACCCTGGGCTGTTCGTCGGCCCGACAATCCCCACTCGCGTAGGGTACGTCAAACAACCAGACCCGCAAAGCAAATAAGTTTATTGAAATGCGTGGTGATACGTCCGACCTCGACGATCCAGACGAGATATCAGGTCAATGGCTTCGTACCGCTACGAGGATGCTTGGGTCTCCAACTTGAGTGAGAGCACCGTGGCGCGTGTTCGCGTGCTGCTCCGTACAATTCTTTGACGTTGGCCAAGACCTCTCGCCCGGTATCTGTCAGAACCTCGGCAGACAGTGGGGCGACCTGCATCAATTCCAAATCTGAGCGAGGCAGACTCGTCACCTACGCCTAGCGACCTGCCGCGCATGAAGTTTTGCCTGGCGAATGGACAGGCAGAACCGCATTCCGCGTTGCCAAGATGCCGCCGTGATATGCTTTTCCCACGGAAGAGGCCAAATGGGCGAAGGCTCGCAAGAGACATGGCCGCGAGCAGGTTAAGCGTCAGAAGAAAGGGGGATGTGTCTCTCCGACGACATTGGCGACGACCTCCCAGGGCATGGAATGGTTGAGCAGGTCGCCCGGCTGTTCCAGGACATCGCCGTCGAGCGCGCCGGGGCGCTTCCGCTGGGGATCGCGCGCAGCAGGGGCTGAGTTGGTTGCCGTGCGGCGTTTCCAGCGTCCACGTACCGTGCCGTAACTTTCGAACGCGCCCTGTCCACGGTCCGAGGCTGGCGCGGACCTATGTAAGCTGTGCGGAGGCGAAGCCCGCGCCTTGCAGATCGCCATCCGACGGCATCCCGAGACTGGCAGCAACGTTGACTGAGTTGCTGGCTGTGACTCGGGCGACCCTTCCGACCAATGTTATTTCTTACAGCGCCTCAGGTCTAACAACGTAGTGGTTTTGGTCACGTCCGGCCCGCCTGGCGGCCTCAACTGCCGCGTCAACTGCGAGGCCCGGCGGGCCGACTGCGAGGAAGATGCGCCGCGCATCTCGCTTTGCGGACAGGTTGCGATGGCGCGGATGCGCGGTGGCCGATATTTCCCCGTCGAACAGCCGAGCCCTTCTTTGCCCGGCACTTCGCGTGGAAGCGGTCGCGTTCGCCCGATGCTGTCTGGGGGCCCGAGGTCCTCGAGGCCTCCCAGCCGAGAAGCCGTCATCGGTCATCGCCAACTCGCCGCATCTGCTTGCGCCCATCAGGCCACAGGCGTAGTGGAAATCGCGACTGCGACGTGAACTGGGGGCGCAGCCAACGCGCCGAGACGCGGCGGGCATGGCCCCGGCGCTTAGCTGGGCAAGTGGCGCAATGCGTCGTCGCGCTCAAAACCGCGGCGGAAGGCTCAGTCGCCATCGTGGCCGAGATCCGGCCGCGGAAGCCAGCATCAGCCCAGAGGCTCTCCAGGAGCTTCAACGATTGGAAGGAGCCGAAGCGCCGTCGGCACCAGCGCCAGCAGCCATGCCAACGCCGGCGGGAAAGTCGCGAGCCCGACCGACAGAATCTGGGGCCCCGACGCGAGCCTCGGGCACGCAGACATCCGCCGTCACGCCAACTGCCAAGCAGGCTGCCAGTGCGCCAAGTTCAACGGTATCCAGAATTTTTGTGCTGCCGCGGGAATCGCAGCACAGCCTGGGCACGCGTCGCATCGAGATCCCAGGGAAGTGCGCAATCCCACCAGGCGTTGCTTAAACCGTGCCGATGGGCAGGATGTGCGCGCGATCCGCCGCGAGACAGATCGTGCCCGGGCCGCGCGAGGCGGCCCAGAGAGTTCCGCTGGTCAGATGAACTAGACAGGGCTGTCCAAGGGCATCGCGCCGGCTAACGCGGACCCTTTCCCGCGAGGCACATGTGCAGCAGTCGCGAGATCCCGTGTCATGGTTTCCTGATTCACAGCTATCATTGCGCCGACGTCGCCAATTCGTTCGGAATAGAGACTGGCCTTCCGGATTTCGAAGTGAATTTCGTGCGTTTCTCATTTTTGATTAGGAATGGGGACTAAACCAAATCGGCGTGAAATTCACTTCGTTTTTCGCTCGCGGGTTTGGGGTTTTGCATCGGAAGAAATCCGCGCAAAAATCCGCCGCGGCACGTCTGCAAGGTCGGTGCAGCGACAGGTGTCATGATTCCAGTGGGCCGCCCCGTGATCGAGGCCCCATCGACGACCCTGGTCCGTCAGCGGCTATGCGTGACGACATCCTCGACGACGGCGAGCCGCTGCCGCCGCCGCCTGGCTCTGCGGTGCCCCGATTTGCTAGAGCTCCTTGACCGCGACTTCGAGTCGTGGCCGCTGCAACAGGTCCGCCGCCAGAAGATTGGACGAGCTTCTATGTCGCGCAGAGACTGCGCATGCTACGGACGGGCGGCGCATGTAAGATACGATGTGATATCCGCGAGCTACACGTGCTCGGGTAGCATGCAACGCGGACTCGAATGGACAAGATTATCATCGCAGCCTGGTGCACAATCAGCGTAATCTAGGTGATAGGCGGCGTAGTAGACGCACGCCGCGAGTGCAGTGCCAGGCCTGGGCAAGCAACGCGTCGCAGATCACCCGCGCGTCGAGCTGGTCACGGCTCCCGATCAGTAAGTAGAACAGGATGTCCTCATCTACCGCTAGTATGTTTCCGATCCGGCACGTGATGGATGGAGCCGACTGGTGGCATGTATCACGTTTGCCCGAGGGTTATTTTAGCGACGCTGGGCATCGATCCCCTGAGCGCGTATGCTCTGCCACCCTGTCATGCTGGATCTCGGTCTCCAGGCCGCTCGAGGCCCTGATCGTGGATGGCGAGCGTCGCGTAATTGGAGCCGAAACTATGCCATCCTTTGATCGACGCGGCATTTTGGACCGAGTCCGAGCCCCAGATCAGCGCGCCCGGGTGATCGAACGACGCGGTGGCATTCGACGGCGCGCGATGTTTTGCATTGACGAATAGCTACGGCGATGATGCTATCGCGTCAGCATGCCCGACCTTATATCCGCGGCTGTATCTGCAGGCGATCTTTTCATATCCCACGGGGGCGCTGGCTTTGCTGCGCCAGGTTCC